ACAGGCTTACCTTAGAGATATGGCAGGTTAGGTTCCAGGTGACCACAATAAAGCAAGTCAGATGAATTTTTTTGGTTTCCTAGTATATTTAAAATTTATGTTTTCACTATGCTGTAGTCTTTTAAGTGTGTGCTAGTATATCTTAAAAAAACTGTACATACCTTAATTTAAAAATCCTTTATTGCTAAAAAAAAAATGCTAACCATCATCTGAGCTTTCAGCCAGTTGTAATCTTTTTGCTGGTGTAGGGTTTTGCCCATGGTGGCTCTTCACTGATCAGGTGGTGGTTGCTGAAGGTGGGGTGGCTATGGCAATTTCTTTAAACATCAATGAAGTTTACCCATGGTAGAACTTTCAGAGTTGGAGTCAGTCCTCTAAAGCCCAATCACTGCTTTTATCAACTAATTTTATGTAATATTCTAAATTCTTTGCTATCTTTTTTTTAAAGATTTTATTTGTCAGAGCACAAAGCAGGGGGAGTGGCAGGCAGAGAGGGAGAAGCAGACCCCGCGCTGAGCACGGAGTCCGACGACTTGGGACTTGATCCCAGGACCCTGGGATCATGACCTGAGCCGAAGGCAGACACTCAACCGACTGAGCAACCCAGGCATCCCATTGCTATCATTTCAATAATCTTCAGAGCATCTTTACCAGGAGTAGATTCCATCTCAAGAAATCACTTTCTTTGCTCATGCATAAAGAGCAGCTCCTCATTTGTTCAAGTTTTATCATGAGATTGGAGCAATTCAGTCACATCTTTAGGTTCCACTTCTAGTTCTCTTGCTGTTTCCACCACATTTGTATTTACTTCCTCCACTGAAGTCTTGAACCCCTCAAAATCATGAGAGTTGGAATCAACTTCTTCCAGACTCCTCTGTTAATGTTGATACTTTGACCTCTTCCCATGAATCACAAATGCTCTTAATGGCATCTAGAACGGTGAATCTTTTTTAGAAGGTTTTCAGTTTTGTCTAGATCCATCAGAGGAATCACTATCTATAGTAGCTACAGTTTTATAAAATGTATTTCTTAAATAAGACTTGAAAGAATTACTCCTTGATCCATGGGCAGCAGAATAGATGTGTTTAGCAGGCATGAAAACTTTAATCTTGTTACACATCTCCATTAGAGTTTTTGGGTGTCAGGTGCATTGTCAGTGAGCAGTAACATTTTGAAAGGAATCTTTTTTTCTGAGCAGCACGTCTAAACAGTGGGCTTAAAATATTCACTAAAGCATGTTGTAAACAGATGTGCTGTCATCTAGACTTTGTTGTTCCATTTATAGAGCACAGGCAGAGTAGATTGAGTATAATTCTTAAGGGCTCTAAGATTTTTCAGAATGATCAAGGAGCATTGGCTTCAACTTAAAGTTGCCAGCTGTGTTAGCCCCTAACAAGAGAGCCTGTTCTTCAAAGCTTTGAAACCAGACATGAACTTTTTTCTAGCTATGAAAGCCCTAGAGGGTATCTTCTTCCTATCTAAGGCTGTTTCATATACATTGAAAATCTTTTGTTTAGTGTAGCCACCCTCATTAATGATCTTAGCTAGATATTCTAGATAACTTGTTGCAGTTTCTGTATTAGCACTTGCTACTTCACCTTGTACTTTTTAAAAAAAAATTCAAGTAATCTCTACACCCAGTGTGGGGCTCGAACTTAAGACCCCGAGATCAAGAGTTGCATGCTCTACTGACGGAGCTAGCCAGGTGCCCCCTCATCTTATACTTTTATGTTATGGAGGTGGCTTCTTTCCTTAAACCTCATGAACCGGCTCTGCCAGCTTCCAACTTTTCTTCTGCAGCTTCTTCACCTCTCTCAGCCGCCTTAGAATTAAGGAGAGTTAGGGCCTTAGTCTGGATTAGGTTTTAGCTTAAGGTAATATATATCAATCAAAGTAGTCATGACCTGAGCTGAAGGCAGACGCTTAACGACTGAGCCACCCAGGAGCCCTTGAAGGACACTTTTTAAATAACAGTTTTCTGCCATGTATAGCTGGTTTGATCTATTCATACAACCAAAAGTTTCAATTGTAAGGCTGTTTCATTTATCATTTGCATGTTCACTAGAATAGCACTTTTGATTTCCATCAAGAATTTTACCTTTGCATTCACAGCTTGGCTACCTGTTTGGTGCAAGAGGCCTAGCTTTTGGCCTGTCTCGGGTTTCATCATGCCTTCCTCACTAAGCGTAATCATTTCTAGCTTTTGGTTTAATGTGGGAGATATGCCCCTCTTCCTTTTCCTTGAACATTTAGAGGCCATTGTAGGGTCATTAATTGGTCTAATTTCAATATTGTTGTGTTTCGGGGCACAGGGAAGCAGAAAGAGAGGGAAAGAGATGGGGGAGGAGCTGGTAGGTGGAACTGTTAGAACTTAAACAGCACTTAACCAGTTAAGTTTGCTGTCTTATGTGGGTGTAGTCCATGGCACCCTAAAACAGTTATAATAGTAACATCAAAGATCACTGATCACAAGTCACCATAACAAATATAATAATAGTGAAGAAGTTTGAAATTTGCAACAATTACCAAAAGGTGACACAAAGACATGAAGTGAGCAAATGCTGTTGGAAAATTGGCACCAATAGAGTTGTTCCATGTAGTGAAGGTTGCCAAAAACCTTCAATTTATAAAAAATGCACTGTGAGGCACAATAAAATAATATGCATGTATAAGAAATACATACACAGTAGCTAGGGTAGGGTAGCAGTGGTAAAAGAGAAGTTCTTTACATCTGTGTGTTTCAAGTTACAAAAAAAAAAAACAAACCCAAAAACAAAAAACATTGTTTAAAGTCTCTCAAAGTCTGGATGATAATCTTAACATTGCATGCATAAAACATAAACTGTATAGGCCAGGCCAGGTACAGCTTGCTAGCTTAATCTTGTTGCCTTTCTCTTGAAGTGAAGACCAGAAGTCCATCTTGCTGTTTTCTAGGGTGTTAGTTCCTGGTCTTTTGTGAGCAACTGCTAAAATAAGAACACAGCACTCCATAGGAAAATCTGAAGCCCTGCTTAAAAATATACATTTCCCTGAAAGAAACAATTTGCAGAAATCTATCTCTACCTAGAAAATGTGAACCTTTACACAGAGGCATTTGTCCTTTGAATTGCTGCTCCATTTATAGTCCTTATTTTACATTTGTACAGCTAAATATCCTGTTCAGGTCCCTTTTCCTTTAAGGAACAGTCTGTGTAAAACAGAATTTTGATGCAGCTTTGAAATGAGAGTCTTTCCAGCTTCTAGTATTCTCATCAAAGTTTTAAACATGAAGACTGTTTCAGCCAGCCTTAAATTCAGGGTAAAGTGCAATCCTTCTTTTCAACAGTCTGTGCCATAGGGACATCTCCCAAGTTCATACACAGCCTAATAATGAGAGTTCAGTCCTTAAATAATGGTAGAGGAAAGTCTACTTTCCCTTTTAACATCTTGTTCCAGGATTACTGCCTTTTCCTAATGGAGTTGGTAACTTGGTTTTCTGCCAGATTCTTACCCAGACTCCGCTTGGGCACTCCATTACTTATATAATGGCCCTCTGTTAATCATTTCTGAGTTTTGTGGACCTCACATGTGAGTTTATCCTCCCAAACTACAACTTATTTAGGTTGTTTCTTTGCTGTTGCATTGTTATTCTGGTCTTCAGGTTTTTCTCTTTTTTCTCTGTCACCTACAGATTGGCCTTTTATATTTAGAGAAGTTCTTTATCAACAATGGTCTTGCTCATTGGCCACTGGCAGGACTTTCTGCTTTTGAAAGCTCCCTTCAGTGGACTGCTAAGACATTTCTACAAGGTATCCCACCATCCTATATTTTAGGGTGAAAGAGTATGATGATAGAAATGTTGACAAGTATTCATTTTCTTCTTTTTCTTTATTATTGATGCTCCAGTTTTTAGCTGAGCATATGGTGAAATGAATTTATTTCTCAGCTAGGTATAGCTGTTGTGACTTAAGTTCTGGTGTATGGAATGTAAATAGAAGTTTCCTGTGAGCTGTTGGAAAATTTCCTAAATAGGCTATTGCTCATCTTCTCGTTATGGTTAGACCTTAAGCAGTTATTTTAAACCATGAAGGGGATACCACATGTTGAGGATGGCAAAACAACAAAATAGAAGGAGCCTGGGTTCCTAATGATCATGGTTTGGAATTGCCTGTGCTTTTATGTGAAAGAAATAAACTTCTGAGTCATTTAAGCTATTGTTAACAAATTTTGAGTTTTCTGTCACTCATAGCTGAACCCAATCCAGCTGATATAGGTATAAAAAAATCAAGCTGTTTCCAAATGAAAAGCACGTGAACTGGGTCCCCTGGATGGTATGGTGCAGCACTGACCCACAAGAAAAAATTTCATCTCTAAATAAAAACTTGGAAGAAAAGAAAAAAAAAACATATATTATCGTCTCCACTTAGAATTTTGCTGCTCAGATTCAGCACTGCCATTTCACCAATTATCCATGACTACCCCTCCCTTCTATTAAAAAGCTTCATTTTTCTCCTTTCACCAAGATTCCACTGCTGTACTTTCATCTTTGAAGCTGTTACACCTCTAGGTGGCATTTTGCTAGGAGTTGCAGGCAACCACAGGATAAACATCTTCCTGGAGCATTGAAACTTTTGGAGGGAACCTTAATTTTTATATCAGAAAATAATGGAATGAAAGGCAAACTTCACATACATTTTTAAATATAAAGTAAATGCCTGGGTGGCTCAGTCGTTGGGCGTCTGCCTTTGGCTCAGGTCATGATCCCAGGGTCCTGGGATCTAGTCCCACATCGGGTTCCCTGCTCCGCGGAGAGCCTGCTTCTCCCTCTCCCACTCCCCCTGCTTGTGTTCCTGCTATCACTATCTCTCTCTGTCAAATAAATAAAATCTTTAAAAATAAATAAATAAATATAAAGTAAATGCTTAAAAATTTTTGTGTCAGAGTTCAACTGCATGAGTCTGTTTCCTCAGATCTCACAGAGTAGGGAGTTCAATCTCTTTTCTGCCTTCCCTTTGCCCTAGGGAGACTCAGATGGAAACTTGAGAAGCACTGCTTACTTGATTAGAGCTAAGGGATTCCTGGCAGCACTGAATAAAGCTCATGGCCCACCAGTTAGAAAGGTAAGAGATTTTAAGCTTTTAATGCAAAAGTGGTTTTTTATTTTTCCAATTGTCTCTCAAATATTAGAGTTCAACAGATGCTTCCAGATAGTATCCTCAGGGTGCTAGTGTCCTACCATATTGATAGTATTTAGTAAAAAAAAAAAAAAAAAAAATTCAAATTGGAGATTTAGTAAATTTGGAAATGTCCTTTTGGAGCTACAATGCATATCCACATATAAAAGCACATTGAAGGGGTGCCTGAGTGGCTCAGTCGGTTAAGCATCTGCCTTTGACTCAGGTCATGATCCCAGGGTCTGAGATCGAGCCCTGCAGGGAGCCCGCTTCTCCCTCTCCCCCTCCCCCTGCTTGTGTTCCCTCTCTCACTGTGTGTCTCTCTGCCGAATAAATAAATAAAATCTTTCAAAAAAATAAAAGCACATTGAAGACTTAATATTAAATTGTTTAATTTTTTTTGAAAGATTTTATTTATTTGTCAGAGAGCACAAGCAGGGGGAGCAGCAGGCAGAAGAAGAAGCAGGCTTCCCGCTGAGCAAGGAGCCTGATGAGGGACTCGATCCCAGGACCCTGGGATCATGACCTGAGCTGAAGGCAGATGCTTAACTGACTGAGCCACCCAGGTGTCCCAAATTGTTTAATTTTAACTAAGAGCCTCCTAAACTTATCTGACTAGGGAATTCTCTATAGTAAAGGGTCCGCATATGAAAGTCCCAATTCTTCTAGGATTTTATAACAGATAGTAACAAGAGTTACTCCTTGAAATATTTTCTTTCTTTTTTTTTTTTTTTTAAAGTAAGCTCCACGCCCAGTATGGGGCCTAAACTCATGACCCCAAGATCAAGGGTCACATGCTCTACCTACTGAGCCAGCCAAACACCCCGAAGTATTTTCTATAGTCCAAAAATATTTTGGACAAAAAGTATTGCCCATTTGAAGTCTGTACATGCTAACTAAAATGTCAACATTTATTTGCTTTTGTAATGGATTAAATCAACTAAATTTAGTTCCATGATTATTCACACTGATCAGAAACATTAATAGGAAGTTATATAGTCCTCAAATATACCTTTATTGAAAGTCTTCTGTGTGTCAGCCACAGTGTGGTGAAGTTAAAAATATAAAATACAGTGGTTTCTCATTCCAAGCCATTTATAGTTTGGGGATATAGCTTCTAAAAATGGAAGGAAATTTTTGATAAATTAAATGTGATCTGGCATACAAAATCTTTCAAAACATGGTGGTCTAGTGATAGACTTTGTCAGATGTATCAAGATACACAAGCAGATTGGCTTGTGCTGTTGTACCTGAATCTGAAGGTTCAGATCAAAAGAGAAACCATGTGTAAATGTATAGTTACTCTAATTTGGACAAAATTTAGAAAGTAAATATATATGTATAATGTATTTGAAAAGTAAAAAAAATTTTTTTAAAGATTTTATTTATTTGAGAGAGAGAGAGAATGAGAGATAGAAAGCACGAGAGGCAAGAGGGTCAGAGGGAGAAGCAGACTCCCTGCTGAGCAGGGAGCCCGATGTGGGACTCGATCCCAGGACTCCAGGATCATGACCTGAGCTGAAGGCAGTCGCTTAACCAACTGAGCCACCCAGGCGCCCCTGAAAAAGTAAAAATTTTTAAGCAGGGAATTTTTCAAGGAGGAAAGGATGGCAAACTTTTTCTTACACACTGATATATATAGGTTAAATAATTTCTGAGCTACTTGACCAACTTAAATGTTCAAATCCTGGTTTGGTTAGAAGTATTCCATAAAATGTAATTCCAGGGGCACCTGGGTGGCTCAGTCAGTTTAAGTGTCCAGCTTTTGATTTCGGCTCAGATCATGCTCTCAGGGTTTTGAGATTGAACCCAGTGTCAGGCTCTGCATTCAGTGGGGAGTCTGCTTCTTCCTCTCTCTCTCTCTCTCTGTCCCTCTCTCTGTCCCTCTCTCATCCTCCCTCTCTCTCCCTCCCTCTTTCTCTTCCTCTCTCCCTCTCTCTGCCCCTCCTCCCACATGCGTGTGTGCCCACCCCCCTCTCTCTCTAAAATAAATTTTTTTTTTTAAATGTAAATTCCGGGCGCCTGGGTGGCTCAGTTGGTTAAGCCACTGCCTTCAGCTCAGGTCATGATCCTGGAGTCCTCGGATCAAGTCCTGCATCAGGCTCCCTGCTCAGCGGGGAGTCTGCTTCTCTCTCTGGCCCTCCCCCCTCTCATGCTCTCTCTATCTCATTCTCTCTCACAAATAAATAAAATCAAAAAAAAAAAAAGAAAAAGCATTAAACATAAAATTTAAAAAAAAATGTAAATTTCGTGAGGGCAGGGACTGTGTCTGTATCATTGTACCCTAGAGTCTAGCACAATTCCTGCCCTCTTGCACGTACTCAGTAAATATTTATTGACTTAAATGACTAAGTAAATGAGTGATCTGAACTTAAGGGTAGAGAGATAGTGGATGGAGGGTGAACAGTGTTTACTAAGAAAGATGGGTAGGTGGGAAGTGAGAGCATTCTAGGCGGAGAGATGGTTTGGATTAAAAGCCTGCATGAGTCTAGAGCCAAGGGATTAAGGAGTAGCATAAGGGGTAGAAGGCAGAGGTCAGTCCATATGCAGTGGTGTGGAGGCAGTGTTACAGATTTGAGGCCATATCCTAAACATTTATTTTATAACTGGTCCTTTCCTCTCATTTTGACGGGTACTGTTGGTGTGCAAATCATCATTCTCTTTTCTGAATTTAGCAGTAATTTGTACTGGCTTTCTTATGCATAGTGTTGGCCTTTAATCCATCCTCCATACTTCTATTAGATCTTGCAGAAATTTCCCTTTGATTATCTAGTTCAGCATCATAAAATCTTTCCATTTTTTTTACAGCATAGTTAAGCACACTTATTCTTTAAAGGGCCAGATAGTGGATATTTTAGACTTTATAGGGGCCACATATGGTCTATGTTGCTTATTCTCCTCCCACCCCCGCCCATTTAAAAATGTGAAAAACTTGCTTAGCTCAACATTTTGGCACAAGCTTGTATTTATAACTTGAGAGTAGCAGTGGGATGGGGGTGGTGAGGGTGGAATCCAAACTCCTTGCCAGGGTAATAAAGGCCCTTCAGGATTCGCTTCTCTCTCTGGCCTTATCTCTCTTCCCTTCAGCCTTATGTCCCCATGCTTCAGCCATCAGAAGTTCTTAAAGATCTCTCAGTGTACTTCTGCTTCATTGCGATTCTGCTTGCTGTCTTCTCTGCTGAAAACATCATCCCTCACTGCCTGATGCCTCTACCTTTGAGACTACACTCAGGCATTACTTCCTTCAGTAGTAGCCTTCCCAGACCCTCTCTCCACATTTGGCAATGTACTTGTCTTAGGGGTTAGAAACTTAATTGGATAAATTCAGGTTAAAAAAAAAGAGAGAGAGCTCATACTCAGAATATAGAAGACTTGCATGATTCAGTCACAGAAAGCATAGGCAGGCATTACAGAAACTACTTTGCTTCTTGGCTGCATGGTTTCTCATCTCTTTTTCTGTGCCTGCTCTCTTCTGGGTTTCATTAATTTCTTATCAGTATGAATATGATAGTAAATGTCTACCAGTCTGGAGTATGATTTGGAATCTTTGCTGCCCACCTTTGTTTGGCTTTTTTTCTTTTTACAAATTTCCTGAAGAGGTAATCTGATTGGCTTAACTTAGGTGTCTCCCCTGGTGTCTCCCTGGTTCACCTGAGGCAGGTATGTCTGGGTCCTGGATATTCTAGGATTTCCCTTCACTGGTAATCAGGCTGTCTAAGAGGGAAGTGTGGGTGCTGAGGAGAGATGACCAGCTCCATAATCTTAATCCCCTATGTTCCCATAGTGCCTGTGTATATCTTTATTATTATATATATATCACAGAATTATACTTGTTTGTTCTTACTAATCTGATTTTGAGGGAAAGGACCATATCTCTTATTCTTTTTTTCTTTCCATTATCTCTTCTTTTTTTTTTTTAATTTTATTATTTTATGTTAGTCACCATACAATACATCATTAGTTTTTGATGTGGTGATCCATGATCCATTGTTTTCGTATAACACCCAGTGCTCCATGCAGTACATGCCCTCCTTAATACCCATCACTGGGCTAACCCATCCCCCTACCTCCCTCCCCTCCAAAACCCTATTTGTTTCTTAGAGTCCATGGTCTCCCATGGTTAATCTCTCCCTCCGATTTCCCCCCCTTCATTTTTCCCTTCTCCTAATGTCCTCCATTGCTATTTCTTATGTTCCACAAATAAGTGAAACCATATGATAATTGACTTTCTCTGCTTGACTTATTTTCACTTAGCATAATCTCCTCCAGTCCCATCCATGTTGATGTAAAAGTTGGGTATTCATCCTTTCTGATGGCTGAGTAATATTCCATTGTATATATGGACCACATCTTCTTTATCCATTCATCTGTTAAAGGGCATCTCGGCTCTTCCCACAGTTTGGCTATTGCAGACATTGCTGCTATGAACACTGGGGTGCATATGGCCCTTCTTTTCACTACATCTGTGTCTTTGGGGTAAATACCCAGGAGTGCAATTGCTGGGTCATAGGGTAGCTCTATTTTTAATTTTTTGAGGAACCTCCACACTGTTTTCCAAAGTGGCTGTGTCAACTTGCATTCCCACCAACAGTGTAAGAGGGTCCATATCTCTTATTCTTAATATGGCATAAGGTACAAAATAGGCAGTCAGATATTTTCCAAATACATTTTATAAAGTAGTTGTATTAGAAGTGTTTGGGAATGCTATACATTGTATGTAACATTTAGTATTATCCATATTTTAGAAATCTGCTTTGAAACTTGAGTACATGCTTTAAAGGTAAGAAATTATAACATTTATAGTTCTATGGCTAACTAGAGGATCAGTAAAATTAACATTTTAGAATCCGGAGATTTTTGGGGTGCCTGACTGGCTCAGTTGGAAGAGAGTTCGACTTTTGATCTCAGAGTTGTGAGTTCGAGTCCACACAGGGTGTAGAGATCACTTAAATAAAAAAACGTGAACTATTTTTTTAATTAAAAAAAGAATCTAGAAATTTTTGAAGTTAATCACCAGAAATTGACTTGCTCCCTCCCATTTTTTTTTAAGATTTTATTTTTAAGGGGTGCCTGGTGGCTCAGTTGTTAAGCATCTGCCTTCAGCTCAGGTCATGGTCCCAAGGTCCTGGGATCGAGCTCCACATTGGGCTCCTTGCTCGGCGGGAAGCCTGCTTCTCCCTCCCCTGCTCCCCCAGCTTGTGTTCCTGCTCTCACTGTGTCTCTCTCTGTCAAATAAATTAAATCTTAAAAAAAAAAAAAAAAAAGATTTTATTTTTAAGTAATCTCTGTACCCGATGTGGGGCTCAAACTCACAACCCTGAGACCAAGAGTCACATGCTCCACTGACCGAGCCAGCCAAGTACCCCACTCCCTCCCATTTTTAAAGCTTCATTTACCCACCCTATTTTCTATGAAGTAAATTGGTTTCTTTCTTTCTCGTTTCTGATAGAGGTTGAAGAAACACGAAGTATTTTTATCAGCTGAATCATTTGAATGATACTATTCCCATGCCATTTTGAATTCTGATATGACCTAAAAGATCACCTTGCTTAACACATTCCATATTTAAAAAAAAAAAGGAACTAATTGGACAAATAATTGATATCTCTTGAGTTTTTATTCATATATGGTAATTGTTCTGTCATGATTCTGTTTGCTCTTAACCTTGCAGTATAGAAGCAATTTTTTTACTCTTTGACATCCAATAACATGAAAGTTATAAACCAGAAACAAGCAGAGAATCGTTAGAGAATCCATGTTTTGTAGTATTTTTCTCATAACTACTCCTAAACACTACATAACACTAATTATATAGTATATTATTATAGTGCAAATGACTATAATTTAAACTTCTATAAGTTTTCCATTTTTAATTTTTTAGTTCAGAACCTTTTAAGAGTGAGTTGCCAGCAAGATGTCCCATTACCCCAAATACTTTATTTTCTACAGTAAGACATTTTCCTACAAAACCACAGTACATCCCTGAAAATCAATAAATTGACATTGATCTATTGCAGATTAGATAATCTGCAAATCACATTTAAGTTTTGCCAGTTGTTCCAATAATGTCCTTTTATAGCAAAAGATTTCTGTCTCAAATTCACATTGCAGTTAGTTGTCATGTATCACTCATCTTTTTTAATCTGAAATAGTTCATCAGTCTTTCCTTGAGTTTGATGACTTGGGCACCTTAGAAGATTAAAGTCCAGTTATTTTGAAGAGTTTAGTTCAATTTGGGGTTGTGTAATATTTTTCATGATTAGATTCAGGTTTATATATCTTTGACATGACTGTCATAGAAGTGATGCTATGTCCCTTCTCATTGCGTCCTATTGGAGTACATGATACTGGTTTTCCTTATTTCTGATTTTGTTAACTTGGATCATCTGAGTAAGGTAATATTTGTAAGACTTTTGTAATTAAAATATATTTTATCAGGAAATATTTTGGAGGATATAAATGTCCTGTCTTATTGAATGTTGAATTTATTCTTTTATATCAGTATGGATTAATGGAATCCAATTTTATTCACAATATGATCCATTACTATCATTATTTATTTTGATTCTTAAATTGTTCAGATTTGACTACTTTATGGCCAAATTCGTAACCAAGTCCTTCTTTATTTTCTTGCAAAAGATATTCAAGGCCCATCCTGTACTTGCCCTACCCTAGCCCTGGAGCCAGACAATTCTTGAAGGAGCCCAGGTTCCTTTTGGTAAAGAATGGTATTTAGACATCAAGATCTGGGTGCCTAGCGGGTATATTGCTTTGAGGGTATCAGTGTTCTCAGTAGACACAGCTAGGGAAATATATGAACATATATGCATATATTATCATATATACCTTCATATCTCTATTTTTGTACCTTTATATCTCTGTTGAAAGTCATGAGTTCATACCAGTATCTCCAAATTTCATCTGATTACCAAGATTCATTCTGTATAATTACCTTCACCTATAGTGTGAATTTGCCTTTACCCACTACATCCTCGATATATCTTTGTACTCTGTCAATCCCTATGTGTGTATATAATGAATCACCTGTTGCTACCAGGCCCACTCCTCCTCATCACATAGATGTTCTCCAGCTTGGGCCCTGGTATCCTGTGCTGGACTGGTACCATCTCTATCCCTCACCTCATATGGTTGCCTCCTCCTACTTCCCTCCAGCTACTCTCCATTCCCATGAACAATTTTCTCTCTTTTCCCCAGCGGTGACACTCTGGACTGTCTGCTCCCCAATAGCCTGTCTAAGCTGCTTTTCATGAAGACATCCTTATATATGTTTTTTATGGAGGCTTGGCTTTTGTATTTTAAGTTACAAGAAATGGTTTGCTAGTTAATTTCTCCCATTTTCTTTTATTCGTTGTTCCTTGTTCTTCTTTCCTATTTTCTTATTGGCATCTCATATTTGTGATTTTATTTGATAGGTTTGTTGAATAATTCTAAAAGTCCTAAAGGGTCTTTCTGCACTACTTTTTTTTAGAAGTGGCTCACATAAAGTTTCTGTATTGTTGGTAGGCATAGAATAGCAAGCTATAACAGTTGATATACATCATGTATAGCAAGGCATACCAGCTGGCAAACACAGTATAGCATTAAAAATGTTATTGTCCCATTTCTTACCTGGAGTAAGTCACCCTTTGGGACCTCATTTGTCAAGGTTAGTTAGTTGGGACTAGATCAAGAATATAAGGTACATGATCTGTTCCTTCATCCAGTTTCCTTATCTGAATAGAAACTCATCAGTTTCTGTAGAATTTTGACTATAGGACCAGACCACCAGAAAAGTCTGAAATACCTAAAAGTCATTTGGCTGGAGAAAAGTGTTTTCTTGAGATTTGGAAGCAGTCATTCATCACTTCATACTTAAATACATCCTCAGTGAGCTTCTTTCCTACAAGCCTTTATAATAAAGCACGGGATCTGGGCTTCTGGAAGGGTTTGCTTCCAGCTGGAACACCTACCAGCAGGGTATCCTTGCAGGCATTCTGCATGCAGTACTACTGAAGCTCTGCAGCCACTTGGGAGACCTTGGTCCTCTCCATGCCTGCCTCCAGCTTGACCTGCTCCACCAGGCCACCACCGCATGGCACTGGCCCTAGAAGACATGCCAGAGGTGCTAGGCTCCTTAAACTAGTCATTTCATTTCATTTCTAGAAATTCCTTCTGTGAAAATTATTATAGATATTGCACAAAGATTTGTTATCAAGGATATTTGTTGATGATAAAAATCCACTAATAATAGTGGTTTAAGCAAAAAAAAAAAAAAATCCACTGACAGAGAATTAGTTAAAAATAAATCATAACCTATATGAGGGAATACTATATAGCCATTAAAAATAACATCTAATATTTAATGATACTACTATTTAATGATGTGGCAGAATTTAGGTAATTGTATTTTAAAGAGAGTTGTAACCCTGCTTTTACAATTTGTAAAGCTACATATCTCCATACATTAATAAGACTGGAATATATGTTGAACAATAAATGATATTTTAGGTGACTTTTATTTTTTCTTTTTGCTCTTCTGTATTTTTATGGGAGCAAATTTAAAGTTCCTTACTATGTCTTAGTTCAGTGGGTATAATTTAGTTCATATTATCAGGAAATAGCAATGACCTCCTTCTGAACCCCAAGCTTCTGCCTTAAAGGTTTTTTTAGAATTATGTAAGACTGATCATTTATGTGGGATACCTAATAGTGGAACTTGCTCTGGCTATGTTGTAACAAAATTCAAAATATATCAACATTCAAAGTATACCTTAAAGCTTGGGGTTCTAAAATAAAATGCCTTAGAGCAGTGAAATAGAGAAACATTTTGAGGGGAACATGTGCATGTTTACACATGGAATTGTCTTAGGAACCTGGAAAGAAGTCTGCACCACATGCTTGATTAGCTGATGTGAACGCCCTCACAATCCTGGAAGCTTCTTGAGGGCAGGTACCTATCTTAGTTCACCACTACGTCCCTAGCATCTGGCAGAGTGCCAAGCCCAAAGTGGACACTCAAATATTTGTTGATTGAAAGAAGAAACCGATGGCACCAGATCATGAGGGCAAGGAAGATAAAGGACTGTTAGAAGAGTTAAGACTGAGATTAGAGAAACCAAAGGACTTTTAAATTTTGTCTAAAACCCTCTTGTGTATTCTTTATGACAGTGATTCTCCTACCAGTATAGGTTTGGATGCTTGCCAAAGAGTGGTGTGGTATATTAACAATTCTCTAAAGTCATTGAATTCTCCAACAACTTAGAGTTTAACAGCCTCCTTTCCCTGTGAGCATATTTCCAACCTTACTGTAAAAGGGAGATAAGCCACCTGGGTGGCTCAGTCAGTTAAGCATCTGCCTTCAGTTCAGGTCATGATCCCAGGCTCCTGGAATGAGCCCCGCTCAGCAGGGAGTCTGCTTTTCCCTCTCCCTCTGCATCCCCCTCCCTGACTTGTGTTCTCTCTCAAATAAATAAAATCTTTATTTAAAAAAAAAGGGGGGGACATAAACCTAGATGTAGAGGCTTGAGATTCAGTTTAAGGAAGAGATAACATTTAAGCCTCCTAAAACAAATACCATCATTTATGTCTGAGGGTGCTTCAGCTGTTGTATTTACAACTACCTCAGCTAGGTTTTAGAAAATAGTAATAAGGAATGGGAATTTTTATTGGTTTATAGGAAATAAGCTGATGTGTAGGTAAGGAACTTCTTTCATAGAGAAAGGGGACAGTGTGGTGGGGGAGTGGAAAAGATGAGAGAGAAAAGGGTACCACGGCCTCATTCCCTCAGAAAGCATTCCTGGAACTCTCAGTTTGGTCCCTGCACTACCTGTGTATTCTCGTAGTGTGTTAACTTTTATTTTTACCAAAGGAGTTGAAATTATATTTCTGTATTCCTTTCTTCTGCTAGACTAAAAGTCTCTCAGGCGCAGGGACTGTTTTTTCATCTTTGTGTCTTGGCATATATTTGGTGTTTAAATGTTCCTTGAACTTAGTGAATTTAAATTTTGCTTTGATTTTTCATAGCAATATGAACTGCATTTTCTTACTGGTTTTAGAAGAGTTTTTTGAGGTAGACTAAACTTACTTAGTCTTGAACAAGTCTTGATTTGTTCCTATCATATGGCTATTTATTCATTCCTTAATATTTAATGAGTAAATGCTGCTGTGAGGTGGGCACTGTTTTAGGTAGTTAACCCAAAGTTAAGTTCCTTGCCCTCATTAAGCTCACATTCTATGGGTAATGACAGAAGCATAACTTTTATAGATTTCCTTTGGATTATTCTAGTGCTTTTCCCTTTTATCACGGGCAGCATGGTAAAGTTGGATGTGAATGGAGGAATAGAACCCTACCAGATATAAGTTTTGCCTGGAAACCAGGGAAAAAACTCTTCTTCCTATCTCCTATACCAAATTACCCATACCTCCAAGACTCAGAACTGTGGCTATTTATACATTTCCCCACAGGAGTTGTCCAGTTTTTCCGAGCAAGACATTCTTGATACCACATTTATAAGCAAAATTATGAAAAATAATTTTTTCTCTATGCATCACTGTCTTATTTGAATAAGCATATAGTTCCTCTTCACCACTGGATGGAGTTCAGTGAATGTAAGATGAAGTATTTGCAGAATTATTTATTATTACTATTTTTTTAGTAATCTCCACACCCAGCATAGGGCTAGAAGTTGTAACCCCGAGATCAAGAGTTGCATGTTCCTCCAACTGAGCCAGCCAGGCACCCCAGCAGAGTTTTTTAAAATGGGCCACTGACCTGGATAGTTTCAACATGTACTTGTTCTTAAACTAATACCAGCGGCGCATGGGTGGCTCAGTCGGGTAAGCATCCGACTCATCAGCTTCTGATCTCATGGGTTGTGAGATCAAGCCCCATGTCCAACTCTGCACTCAGAGGGAGTGGATATTGTCTCCCTCTGCACCTTCCCTTTCTCTCTCTCTCAAATAAATAAATAAATCTTAAAGAAAAAAACCCTAATATCAAATAAATAAGTTAGAAGGCTGTGAAGAGGGAGATGCTTATGTAGACCAATTGTATTACAGGACAAATAGAATTTTGATGAATTAGGCTGAGAACTTGATCACCTCTGACTATATTTTAAGAAGTTAAAGAGTTTCCAAATAGATGTTCTAAAATGCTGCATCTCCTCCTTTTCATCAGACTTCCAAAGTCAGGAGTTTTACTCTTTTAATAGCTGCCTTTCAACCACAGCTCTAAGGCTGAATTAAATGTTTTTTTCCTTTTACCGTCTGTGATGGAGTTGGATATGTACATACCTATGTTTAAGACATTCATGTGGGTGTTCGTTTTGTAGGAGCAGCATTCTTACCTCTTGTAAAGCTTCTTAAGAGTGACAGGGTTTGGGGTTGGCAGTAGAGTAAAATTATTCATGTGTTTTTATTTCTCGTGTTTCAAGTAGTGTTTCAAAACTATTTTTAACAGTGTGAAACCACTTTGTTTTTCAGTATCCTTGCCATGAAAAAGAGGACGTGATAAGTTGTTCAACTTAATGAAATTCAAGTTACATGTGAATTCTGCCAGGTATGTATGCAGTATTTGGTATGTTTACCAATTTTTCATATTTTAGATCATAAAAATTTTCATAGTTATTTCTTGATAAATATTTCAGTATTTTTTTCAATAATTAAAAAAAAAACTTACCCAGTATATTAGTTTAGCTGCTAGTCCTATTATGTCTTTTTTTTTTTTTAAAGATTTTATTTATTTGAGAGAGAGAGCACAAACACGGGAAGGGGCAGAGGGAGAGGGAGAAGCAGACTCCCTGCTGAGCAGGGAACCCAACAGCGGGGCTCGATCCCAGGACCCCAAGATCATGACCTGAGCTAAAGTCAGATGCTCAATCACCTGAGCTACCCAGGCACCCCCTATTATGTCTTTAAATTATCAAATAGAACATCAAAATGCACTTAACTATGACAAACATAAACATATTTTAGGGTTTGATTTCTAGAGTTCCAAATAATACTAGTCCCATGAGATGTTCTATGAAAAAGCATTTTGAATAGCAAATGGATGTGTCAAAAATGCCATATTCTAGGTGCTCCTCTAGTCATTTCACGTGAACATATTAAAGGCTCTGAAAAGTCCTATAAAAGAAAATGTACTCCAGCATTTCCCAAAACTGTTTGATTACATACCTTTTTTCTATAATAACTATTGTCATCCCTGTTGAAGATGCTTTGGGAAACATTGCTTTGGAATGGTTAACAAGCTAATGTTGAAAAAGAAACAATGTTTCCAGATTTTTAATTGAGTCAAATACAGTTGTTATATATAATTTCTAGAAAGAAAGCGAAGACAAAATTTAAAACCTACAAGTTGTTGCAAAGAATGATTGGGAACTTTAAGTCTAAATCAAATATAGGAAAATAATCTTTACTCACAGATTTCTTTTTATAGTTATTTTGTTCAAATCAGGATCCAAAAAGGATTTACATTTCGTTGGTATGTTTATTTTTTTTTAAGATTTTATTTATTTATTTGAGAGAGAGAGAGTGAAGTGAGCACACGAGTGACAGGGAGGGGCAGAGGGAGAGGGAGAGCAGACATCCCTGCAGAGAAGGGAGCCCAATGCAGGACTCACTCCCAGGACCCTGGAATCATGACCTGAGCCTAAGGCAGCCCCTTAACCAACTGAGCCACCCAGGCACCCCTGGTTAGTATGTTTATTAAATCTTCTTTAATCTGTAACAGTTTCTATCTACTCTTCTCTTTTTTTGTTCTCCATTACATTTATTTGTTGAAGTGACCAGGTCTTTGTCTTACAGAATTTGGCTGACTGCTTCCAGATAGTGTTGACAGGTTTCTCCTGTATTTCCTGTAGCTGAATCTAGAGATGCTTGATTAAGTTCAGGTTTGACTCTGCATACTGTCCACACACACACGCACACGCACGCACGCACACACCCCCCCACCCCCCCCCCCACCCCCCCCCCCCCCCGAAAACTTCTCATGCTTTCTATTTTTTCATATCAGGTGGCACATAATGTCTAATTGTCCCACTCTTAGTGATGTTAATTTTAAGATTGACCTGTGAGTTCATTATAAAGCTCCCGCCACCTTTTTTTCTTAATGGTTTTATCATGCGACCTAGATCCATTATTTCATTGGACATTAAAGTGATTTTCCAATTATTTCATTCTTTATTCACTTAAATTATTGAACAGGAAAGATTTAGCCTGATAGACCAAGGTTCCTAACCCTTTTTTTCTATAGTGTGAAATCTGCATGTTACATGTATTTGTCTACTCATTATAAAAAGATGGAAGGGAAATAGGGCTAAAATGTCAGTAAAAGTATTTTATTTCACACTGAAATAGAAAAAGTGATAAGCTTAGTGAAAATCATATAATATTACATTTAAAATTATTCTTTATTTAAAAATCTATACTGTCAAGGTGCGGTGGCTCAGTTGGTTAAGCGTCTGCCTTCAGCTCGGGTCATGATCCCAGGGTCCTTGGATCGAATCCCACATCGGCCTCCTGGCTCAGCAGGGAGTCTGCTTCTCTTTCTGCCCCTCCCCCTGCTCGTGCGCACGCTCTCTCTCTCAAAAATAAATGCTCTTTAAAAACAAATAAATAAAAATCTGTACTGTAAGACACTAAGCCATTGCTTAATGTTTTATTATAGGCAGTACAAGGACCTGTGGAATATGAGTGATGACAAACCCTTTCTATGCACTGCCCCTGGATGTGGCCAGGTAATATATAAATTACTTTAAGTCATTTTGTATATTCATATTTATTAAAACACTGATGAAAGTTTATGTTGTCATTAAAAGGATTCTCCTACAATTTTTTTTAAAATTTTGGAGTTAGAATGTAAGTAACCCAGAAAAATTTGGGGAAGAAACTTTTTTCCTCAGTAGTATATTTGAGTTTTTAAAAACACAATCTAATATGGAAAAAGAAAGTTAGAAGTCTTGTAATGGAAAGGTGAATACCTAGACAAAATCCAGGGCTTAATAGTATCTTCATTTGACCATTATTGGTTGAAAATAATTGTAAATTGCTTAGTTGGAAATCAAATATACATTATCTTGTTTGAAAATTATATTACTTGCTGAACTCTTATGAAATTAACTAATATTTACCTCTGACAGTGTCACTAATGCATTAATGTTCTTAATGTACCTAAGTCTAACATCTTCAGAGCATGTATGAAAGCATTTTCAGAAAATAATCTTTCTACATTGTATCAGAAAATAATATTTCAGTGTTTTTAATAGGCCATTAAATTATTAATCTGTTGCTGTTATAATAATTCTAACTTTAAAATAACTTATTGACACAAGAAATGAAAGAATAAATTTAGTGTGTAGCCAAATTACAGAGTACTTAAATATACAAACTATAAATCATAAATAAGCATTAGTGTTTCATTGGTTCTTACTTGTTTTCTTTAGCTGATGTTTTAAATTGAGGTATAATTGATATACTGCACATACTTATACAATTTCATGTTTTAATGTATATATGCTCATAAAACTATCACCATAATTAAGATAGAGAACATACTCCTCACCCCAAAAGTTTTGTCATGCCCAGTTGTTACCGCTTCTGCCTTTGTAAAGTACTACTCTGCCTATGTCCCTATAGATTAGTTTGCATTTTCTAGAATTTTGTGTAGAGTCACACAGTATGTACTTTTGTCTGGCATCTTTTGTTCCTTATAATTAATTTGCGATTTCCCCATGTTATGTGACCAGTAGTTAATTCCTTTTCATTGAGGAGTAATATTTCATTATTATGCAGTTGTGGACATTTGGCTTATTTCCAATTTTTACTTATTACAAATAAACCTGGTATAATTGTGTACAAGTCTTTGGTATGGATGCATGCTTTCTTTTCTCTTGGGTAAATGCATAGGAATGAAATGATGCGATCATATGTTAGATATATATTTACTTTTGAAGAAATTGCCAAGCTGTTTTCCAAAATGGATGCACTTTACATTTCCACCAGGAGTGTTTGAGTCTTGTTGTGCCATTTCTTTGCCTACATTTGATGTTGGCAGTCTTCTAATTGTAGCCATTTTCCTTGTGTTTATAGTGATATATCATGTGGTTTTAAATTGCATTTCTTTGATGAAAAGATGAGCACTTGTTCATGTGCTTATTGGCCATTTGCATTTTTTTTTTGTGACATATCTCTTCAAATCTTTTGCTGTTTTTAAAAGTCAGGTTGTCTTTCCTTTAATTATTAACTTGTAAGAGTTCTTTATATATCCTGGATACCAGTCCATTGTCAAATAGTTTCTCCAAGTCTATGGTTTGCATCTCAGTTTTCATGATAAGAGCTTTTGATCCACAGATCTTTTAATTTTAATGAAGTCTAATGTTATTAATTTTTTCTCTTTTATGGTTGTTGCTTTCTGTGACTTGTCTAAGAAATCTTTGCCTACCTTTAAGTCACAAAGGCATTATTCTCCTTTGTTTTTTCTGAAAGCTTGTTTTTTCATTTAGGCCTCTGTTTCATCTTGAATTCATTTTTCCACGTGGTTTTTCAGATATTTGAACATCATTTGTTGAAAAGATTTTTCTTTCTCCATTAATTTGCCTCAGCTCCTTTATTGAAAATCAAATTATGGTAGATGTGTAGGTCTATTTCTGAGCTTTCTACTCTGTTCCTTTCATCAGTCTGTCAACTTTTATGCTAGTACCACAATGTCTTGATTACTCTAGCTTTACAGTAATGCTTCCAGTCAGGTAAGGTAAATTCACCAGTTTAGTTCTCCTTTTTGAGATTGTTCTGGATAGTCTTTTAATTTTAGTCATTATGGTGAGGATGTAGTGGTATCTCATTATGATCTTAATTTTCATGATAGATATCTAAAGTTGTTGAACCAGGGTAAAGATAGGAAGTTACAGGGTTGGTGCTACTTAGATAGGTTTGTCAGGGAATGCCTCTCTGATAAGGTGCCATTTGAATTAAGACATGAAAATGTAGGAGCAGAGCTCTGGAGGAAGTTTTTCAAACTGAAGGAACAACAAATATGAAGTTTCTAAGGAGGGAATGGGTTTGGGTGTATTTAAAATCAGAAAGATGACTCTTGTGGCTGGAGCATATAGTGACCAACAAGGATAAGAGTAAGAGATTCTGTCAGGTAGAATAAAATAGTCCATACCCTGTAGGGCTTTGTAAACTGTGATAAAGTGTTTGGGCTTTATTCACAGAGCCATGAAAGCTATTACTGAGCTAAGAGTGGAAACGGGGAGTAGAGACTGACAGCTGTCAGGTGAGAGATAATGGTGGCTTTGTCTAGGTGCTAATAGTGGACAATATAGAGAAATAGACTCATTTGACATATATTTTGGAGATATACTAGATATTCATTTTTCTATAAATTCAAGAAGGCTAAAAAAACTACACTTCCCAGAATTTTTTGTGAATAATATTTCCGAGGAAATCGAAAGATCAAATAAGAATTGATTTTAGAAGCACCAATTTGGTGGTGTTGGTACAAGTTATTTTTTTGTCATAAGTATTGATATTATTCCCAATTTGAATTTTAGCTTTAATGCACTTAAATTTAAATTTTCAAATTTTAAATTTTTTAAAACACATTTTGTTGATAATGTTATTTTGGAGAGAGACCTGTAGAAATCAATGCAAAGAATTTTAACTTTTTTTCTTGCTATTAAAAATGTTTTTATGTGCCTCAGTCACTACTAGGTATTTCACAGAAAGAGTTCTGTTAATCACATTTGTTTTAAAGTAATGTTCCATTGAATTTGGTGAAAGAGACAAAGTGTGATAATTTAGTGAAAGATTGATTTAACATTGGAACTCTTCTATTTTATGTGTTAATATCTTTGCTTTTGGTGATGCGTTCATTGAAAATTATTTCTTGCATAGAATGTTTATACATCATAAGCTGTTTTACAAAGGACATAAAGATTCATTTTATTTAGTCTAAAGTTTCACTGGAGGTGTGTAAATATGTGTGTCTGTAACTTCCTGATGTTGAATAGATTCCTTCAAACCAGTAAAAGAAGCAGTAAAATGAGCTATTGGCTTTATGGCTTTATAACTTAGTTGTACCTATTTAATCTGTTAAATAGGAAAAAAAATCTATATCATGGATGGGAATGCATGTATTAAATGTAGAATGACTGACTTCTTAGGAAGTCAGTTCTGGTGAGCGTTCAAGCCTTAGAAACACAGATCTCTCAGATATCAGAGCTTCATTTCATTATAAAAGCAATTGGTTTACCTCCCTTCCATCTGTCAGGTTACCCTTCCTTTTTAACTTTATAAGAGAGATGGTTATCCATCCTACCTTTCTTGACTGCCTTTCCCATTGTTGACTCAGCCGTATGCTCAAAGTCTTGTTGTTTAACAAAATACTGTGTATTTTGCATTGGAGTTGTGCTGTAAATTGCCTGGAAGAAAGAAATTATGAATTTAATATGTTTAACATATTGTTATTACTACTACTATTATTTTTCTACAAAACTTATTTTTTAAAATAAACTTTTTAATTTGGCTCAGAAAGCAATTCAAATAGATTCTGCAAAAATTTTATCTTAGCATATAGTAGTAGCTATTTTATAAGTATTTGTTGAAAAAGTTTATTTCATTCATTCATATATATATATATCTGTATATGTATGTGTATATGTATATCTTTTCCTGGTGACTGCCTTTTGACAAGATGGCCTTTGACATTGGTTTTGTTTTGTTTGTTTCTTGTTAGAGGTAAATAAATTATTTCAAGTGATAGCTAAGGTTAAACTCATTTATTATCAAGTGCCAGTTTCAGTGTGTTTTATCCAAGTATATCAATAATATCATATCAAAAATCTCTTAATAAGTAGCATTTTGGTAAATTTGATCTATAGATCATATATGGAACTTTGTAAATTCATATTTCTTGCATTCACCCTTTTAATATTCATATGATCCTGAATTTTTTTTAGGGCCCTTTTAGCTGTTCCTTTTCACTGAGGATCAATCTAGGTACCATTTTCACGTTTTGTACAATTCTATATCTGGTTCCTCTTTGATTTGGATATTTGTGGTCAAACCAATCCAAGCAGAGAATAGTTGTAGAATAAATTCCTAGGAGATAACTTTCCAGGTTCTTATCTGTTAATATGACCTCTACCAAAATGCGTTTATTCACAAGTGTTTAATTACTACCTTCATGGAGAAACTACATTGTTAGGTTCTTTAGACGTAAAGTGAATCCTGCTTTAAGATACTTTTAGTGTGGAATGTAATACACGTATATTTAAAACTCTAATGGAAAATAATGAAATAATGCCTACATTATTCTATAAACTACACCTATGTTCATTCTCTAAGAGCTGTTATTCGGCCGTCTATGAAAAGACAACTACTTCTTCCTCCAAATTTGGGAAGGATTCTTGTAATGATAAAGCAACAGAAAGCTAGTACTTGGTTGGGAAAGAGCTGGATTATTTTTAAATGAACTGCTTTGTTATCATATTGGTTGTTCTTTCTTTGCTGGATTATAAGAAGCATTTTTAAAAATATGGTAATATAAAGAACCTGATTTACTTAATTTGTCCAGGGGTAATATTTCCATAAGAGAAGGAATCTGTTTGGTGTTTTTTTTAAGATTATTTATTTTAAAGTGCACGCACAAGCTGGGAGAGGGGTTGGGGAGAGAAAGAGAGACTCTCAAGCAGACTCCCCGCTGAACGTGAGCCGCCCCCGCCCCACTGACACGAGGCTCAATCTCACGACCTTGAGATCGTGACCTGAGTTGAAATCAAGAGTCGGATGCTTAACCAAATGAGCCACCCAGGCACCCCAGGAATCCCATTTGGATAGTTTAGGGGAACCACGTTCAAATATATATAATTTTAACATCCCTATTTATAAGGATGTAGGGTAGAGAGTTTATATCTTAATTTGGCATTTTATAATTATTGCTCTGAAATAAAATGTAAGTGCTCCTTATTTTCAGTTATAATTGCTGCTTGATAAGGAGCATCTTCATAAAGGTTGATGTCAGACATTATTTTAAAATGAACTGCTTTGTTGTATTGGTTGCTATTTCTTTGCTGGATTATAAAAAAAGCATTTTTTTTAATGTGGTAACATAAAGAACCTAATTTACTACTTAATTTGTCCAGGGGTAATATTTTTGTGAGAGAATTCTCATTTTAAAAGTGGTAAGTAACCTGAAATCTGTGTAAATACAGTACTTTCTTCAAGTGTCACTGAACCATGGAATACATAGTTCTTTGATATGGCAAAAGAAATCAGTAGTGGTCTATTTTTAGTGTCCAAATGAAATTTATATGAAGTTTCTTTGCTTCAGGTTTAATTTTTAAATGCTCTCAAATGATGTATGTGACTTATTAATACATTAGTATTGCTTATTCTTGGGTAATGGGTTTTCTATAATTATTTGAAGTCTCGTATGTTTATACTAACAATAGATTCTTTTATAGTTAACAAACTGTTTCATTGTTAATGGTGGTTTTACATGTTGTGGAAATGAATTTCCTTATCATTTTACTTACTTGATCAAATTGAAAATCTTAACTATATTTTAAAACTTTTTGCCACAGCGTTTTACCAACGAGGATCATTTGGCTGTCCATAAACATAAACATGAGATGACACTGAAATTTGGTCCAGCACGTAATGACAGTGTCATTGTGGCTGGTTAGTATATGCTTTTATTAATAGCTTATATACATATTTCACCTGGAATGTGCACAATTTTTGTGTATTCTCTGTAAATAATATAGTCTGGTGATACTCCAATTACTTCATTTAAAGTAAATGTTGGCAACATGTATTTTACCCATTACATTTCCATGTTTACTTCTGACCATTCATTTCACTTTTCTGTGTGGTTTTCAAATGTAGATATCAATGTTTTGTGGGAGTTAATTAGAACCCCGGGAGCATTTATAGCATCTCCAAAGTTTACATTTGATTGATAATTGAACTAATGTGATGTTTAGTCAATGTTTCTTTTAGCTTTTTACACCTGGTTTGCAGTGCTTTGGGAAGAGAGGAAATGATCACGCTCCTCCTGTTGGAGAAAGATCAATTAGCAGACTTGTTCACTAGAATTTTGTTGGTATTTCTTTTGGGACTAAAACATCTGTGTTAGTAAAAATACTCTCAGTAAAAGGGCCTAAATTCAGTCAATGCTTTTTTTGTGTGTTTTGATCCTGTGAACATACAGTATCACATAAGCAAATGATTATCTTTCACAGTATGTGAAAAGAGAAAATTTCATGCATTGTTTTATTGTCCTTTCATGCTGTATTAGCTGCCCCTTTTGTGGTATTTAAATATATATGTACACACATCTATGCATTTGGACACACACATGATATGCATAGTTTTACTGCATTTGGTATATTTTATAAGTATTGTTCTAAGAAAAGAAAGTTTTATATAAAACAATATATTTATATAAATTTCAGACCCTTTTGTGTCATAACCACAGAGTCACATAAGTATTCAAAATCAACCCTAAATTATTATTTTCTCTTTTGAAGTTTTGGTTATACTCTTTGTCAGTCTGGAATGAATCCTGAAATCTGAATATTATTAGTATTTTAAAATTATTACCCAACATACAGATTAAATAATCATATGCGAGGCTTTATAGGGATAATGAGGCAGATGGTTTTTCCTGTACTTTCAGTATCATAATTTTTGTAATGAAAAAATTTGAGTTAACAAAAAGTTGGTAATTTGTCAAAAACTACTTAGGAAAAATGAAAGAGCATGTTGAGCATTTCTTTAGTTCCATAAGTAAGAGGAAGCAGAGAAGAGTGAGGTATGCACTTCTTTAGAATATTGTACATCAGATATTAAGAGCTGGATCCCAAAAAAGTAGTCAAAATAACAACAACCTGGACAGTTCACTCTCCTAGGGATATAAATAAGGTCTTTGCTTGTCTGAGATTTATTGCCCTAGACCAAGATCTGTAACTTTTCAACTCAAAAATGTTTTGAGATTGGTTTCTAGAAATTTCCTATTGGTTTACCTTTATTATAGTAGAAAAACAGAACACATTCAAACACAGCACTTAACCATTTTTTTTACTAACATGTGGAAATTAGTAGTTTAGCATTCCTGTATAAGTATGATGCATGATGTGTGTGGTATATATTTCATGATCAATAGCCATAAGCCACTGCATGTTTAAACAGTTGTGCCTGTATTGACTTTTCTTTCCTCACACCTGATCATTTTGGTAATCACTGATAACAGTGTTTTATGCATATGCATTTTATTTCTAAGACTTTTCTCCTCTCCCTTCACCACACATTAGGAGCCTTTTGTTGGGCTGAGATAGACAAACCCTTTGATTATGAACAGAGGAGACAAATTTATATTCACTTTACTAATTCACCTATAATGGACTTAAGCTGATATGTGTACTCTGAGCTCTTGCTGTAGTAAATTTCAGAAGTCTTTTGAGGGTTAGTGAGTATGTATGTTGTAGACTAATAGGTAAAATGATGACACAAGAGAGTCCCTTTAGTAATTTAGATAATACTAGTCATGTTTGAGATAGGCTTACATTGTAGCTAATGTGTATGACATATAGGTCATTTTAGTGTTAAATATATTTATATGTAGTAAGCGTATTAGTACTCTAGATACATGTGGGGCAAAGATGAAAAGTAATGCCAATTCTGGGGACACAATATTTAACAAATACATGAGTTTTAATTTTATAAAATCTTAAACCAGGAGTCATCCTTATACTTTTATTTAGCTTAGACTAGATTCCTGATAAAACCTATAACTTGATGCCCTAAAATACATAAAATGTGACTAGAATTTCAGTGTGCCAGCAGCTCTGGTCAGTATGAATCAATAGCCTGGCAGATAATAAGACAAATAGGCAAAATCCCTAAGTATACTATTTTTCACTCAACATGGACCTAACTAGTATTAATTCCATAACCGGTGCATGCGTTAATGTACATAGCATGAGTACCTAATCCAGGATAGTTAAAATACTTCACGTTGTGGGAAAGTAGAGTTGACCGTTCCTCTACTGCCTAGAAATTAAGGTAGAACATTCCATAAATAGGTAACTCTTATCTAGCCCCTTGTTCCAAGCTTGAAAAATGCATTAAAATAGAAAATTGGCTTCTGTGGATAGTGATAAAGGAGGGTTCTGTTTTGGTTTGCTTTGTTTTAGGGCTCTTATTTTAACCTTCTCTTTTCTTCCTTGTAGTATTTTGGTCTACCTCCTAAAAATTCTGTGTTATCGTAAGCTTGCTTTTGTAGTGGGTTATGAACACGCGTGGAGAGCCCACGCTCGAGTGAGTGACTACATGCTCTTGTCCTAGCTTTCCCCAAACTGCATGTATTCGAAACAGTCGTAATTTTTAATAATGTAAATTTTTAAAAACTCTTTTTGCTTTAAATAATGGTAGTAGTTGATCTTTGAGTAGAAGATGCTTATGTCATTCTACTAAGAGAGAAGGTCTGGACTAAGGAACAAGAAGGACTTTTTTTTCATACTTTTGTGGTTCATAAAGTTGGAGGAAATATCTTGAACTGCAGCAAAGACTTAACCAAATTTTGTTTGCTTTAAAGGAAGAGGTCTTTCCAAAGAGAATTAACAGCTGACTGAACCAGTCCTGCTCATTTGTTAACTGACTAGCTATATTTCACGGTCCTGTATGCTATTTAAATCTGTGGGATTGCTTCTTGACATTTATTTCAGATCAGACCCCAACACCAACAAGATTCTTGAAAAACTGTGAAGAAGTGGGTTTGTTTAATGAGTTGGCAAGTCCATTTGAGAATGAATTCAAGAAAGCCTCAGAAGACGACATTAAAAAAGTATGTTGTTAACCATGAAATTAAGAGTATTTCTGACAAAACAAGAGTCACAACTTACACTTCTTGCTTTCTTATTTTAGATACACTGGCATTTTTTGAACTTCTGACATTTTCTTTAACGTTTGTATTTTAGATGCCTCTAGATTTATCCCCTCTTGCAACACCCATCATAAGAAGCAAAATTGAGGAGCCCTCTGTTGTAGAAACAACTCACCAGGATAGTCCTTTACCTCACCCAGAGTCTACCACCAGTGATGAAAAGGTTAGAAATTTATGTTTTGGGGAGAAACACAAACTTAGTGTTAAAAAAAAAAAAAACGCACCCCAAGTAAAGTTTAATATTTGATTTACCTAAAATGTTGCTGTAATAAGTTGTACACAATTGAGTATCAGGTTGTAATAGTCTTATATGTGAAAGCCTGTGAATACTCCTAGAAATTTCAGGGAAAGAAGCTGTTACCTTGATAGATAATTGCCTTTTTATTACACTCAGAAAAATTAAAGGGGAGAACAGCAATCATTTTAGATAAAACTTATTTTTTTTAAGGCTGCATAAATTTATAAAGTGAATTTAACTTTTCTGGGTTTTGCTATTATTTTATCCTTTGCCGCTTTTATATAGTGACAGCTTTTTCTTTACAACTAAAAATTGCTTGAACTAAGGTTATTTAGGCTTTTTAAGGGCTACGTGAATAGTTATTCATTCTCGGCAATGGGTCTTTGGTACTACCAACTAAGATGATGACGATACTGTCTTAGTACAAGCCTTTTGTAGGTGGTTTAGGGCCTCATTCCTGGATCTTGAATACCTTGGTAACTTGGGAACCCCCTGGGCTATGTAGTGTGTGTTGAGTAACCATTATTGGGGTTTTTGTTTTGTTTTGTTTTGTTTTGTTTTTAAGAGATGGGGAGAGAGAGAGAGGGAGAAGAGTGGGGAGGGGCAGAGGGAGAAGGAGACAGAGAATCTTAAGCAGGCTGCACGCCCAGCACAGAACCCGACACAGGGCTCAGTCTCAAAACCCTGAGATCATGACCTGTGCTGAAATCTAAGAGTTGGACGCTTAAGCACCCAGGTGCCCCATGGGTATTTCTTGATCACTTTTTATTCATAAGCACTTATAATGAACAAATTATGTGGCACAATGAAGAGGCACTGACAATGTCTTTTTCTAGATTATGTTATTCTAAAACTATAAATGAATTAATGGACTTCTGTCATGGCAAAGAATCTAAAAGTAGGGCAGAAAAAGTAACTTCATACTTAGGAATAAATGCTTTGACCTTAGATGTTTTGAGGGTTTTTTTCCTCATTTCCTGATTATAAAAGTGAGTCTCATTATAAAAAATATGAGGAAGACAGCCCAAATCACCTGTTAGCCCATAATGGAGTGATAAGAATTACTAATATTATGAAACATTTTTCATAGATCTATGCATGCATTTATACAAATATCCATATATAAGGGAATAATTAGAAGGATAGATGGATACAAAGAAAAATTCAAAGAAAGAGCCTAGTTTACTTTTTATTTTTTTTAAAGATTTTATTATTTGTTTTATTTTATTTTTGAGAGAGAAAGGGAGAGACAGGGCACAAGGGGAGGGGGAGGGGCAGAGGGAGAGGGAGAAGCCGACACTCCCCTGAGCAGGGAGCCTGATGTGGGGCTCGATTCCAGGACCCTGGGATCATGACCTGAGCCGAAGGCATACCCTTAACTGACTGAGCCACCCAGGCACCCCTACTTTTTAATTTAAAACAAGTATTTAAAAAAAATTTTTTTAAGCTAGCTGTACAGCCAACATGGGGCTTGAACTCACGACCCCCAAATCAAGAGTCACATACTCTACCAACTAAACCAGGCAGGTGCCCCAATCCTAATTTACTTTTATATTGTGCTTTAGACATTGAGCATTAATGAACACTTTCCCATGTCATTAGAAAATTTCCAAAATACTAATTTTTAATGGTTGTACTTTATCATTATCTTAGTGTATCTAATTATCCTGTTCTTTTTGGACATAAAGATTATTTCCACATTATCACAGTTATAGAAAATGCTGTTAACTCTATGATATAAATATCTTTTTTTCTAAAGAGCTTTCTAGTCCCATCACGCTCAACATTTTTCCCTCTTCACTGCTGCTTTAGCATCTTTCAAGGGTAATCCTTCTTCCTGCCTTCCTGTCTTTAGCCTCCCCCTGGGCAGGGCATAGTCACACCAAGTTACAAAAGTCTGTTCTGCGCCTCCTTCACTTCTCTTTCTCACTTTTCTTCATACGTGATCTCATCTCTACTCAAAACTTTAAAAACCAACTAAATGCTGATGATTCTCAAACTTACATCAACCAAGATATCTCCTGAATTTCCATATTCATCTCCAACTCCCATTGTGACATTTCCCTTTCTATATCTAATAAGCATCTTAAACTTAATATATCTAAGTCAGAGCTCTTGATTCTTTCCCTTAGTAAATTTTCTTTTTTTTTTTTTTTAATTTTTTTAAATTAACATATAATGTATTATTTGTTTCAGGGGTACAGGTCTGTGATTCATCATTCTTGCACAATTCACAGTGCCCACCATAGTACATAACCTCCCCGATGTCCATCACCCAGCCACCCCATCCCTCCCACCCCCCACCACTCCAGCAACCCTGAGTTTGTTTCCTGAGATTAAGAGTCTCTTAATGGTTTGTCTCCCTACCTGGTTTCATCTTGTTTCATTTTTCCCTCCTTTCCCCTATGAGGCTCATATATCATATACCCCTATGTGCTCATTGTATCAAGTGCCCTCCTTAATGCATCACCCAGTTACCCCATTCTCCCACCCACCACCCCTCCAACAACCCTCAGTTTGTTTCCCATGATTGTCTCTTATGGTTTGTCTCCTCTGATTTCATCTTGTTTTATTTATCCCTCCCTTCCCCTATGATCCTGTTTTGTTTCTTAAATTCCACATACCAGTGAGATCATGTGATACTTGTCTTTCTCTGATTGACTTACTTCGCTTAGCATAATACCCTCTAATTCCATCCAAGTTGTTGCAAATGGCAAGATTTCGGTTTTCTTTTTGATGGCTGCATAATATTCCTTTGTGTATATCTATACCACATCTTCTTTGTCCATTCATCTGTTGATGGACATCTAGGCTCTTTCCATAGTTTGGCTACTGTGGACATTACTGCTATAAACATTGGGGTGCACGTGCCCCTTCGGATCCCTACATTTGTATCTTTGGGGTAAATACCCAGTAGTACAATTGCTGGGTCCATAGGGTAGCTCTATTTTCAACTTTTTGAGGAACCTCCATACTGTTGCCCAGAGTGGCTGCTCCAGCTTGCATTCCCACCAACAGTGTAAGAGGGTTCCCCTTTTTCTGCATCCTCGCCAACATCTTTCATTTCCTGACTTGTTAATTTTAGCCATTCTGACTGGTGTGAGGTGGTATCTCATGGAAGTTTTGATTTGTATTTCCCTGATGCCGAGTGATTTGGAGCACTTTTTCATGTGTCTGTTGGCTCTTTGGATGTCCTCTTTACAGAAATGTCTGTTCATGTCTTCTGCCCATTTCTTGATTGGATTATTGTTCTTTGATTGTTGAGTTTAATAAGTTCTTTATAGAGTTTGGATATTAGCCTTTTATCTGATATGTCATTTGCAAATATCTTCTCCCATTCTGTCGGTTGTCTTTTGGTTTTGTTTCCTTTGCTGTGCAAAAGCTTTTTATCTTGATGACGTCCCAATGGTTCATTTTTGCCCTTGCTTCCCTTGCCTTTGGCAATGTGTGCAGGGAGAAGTTGCTGCAGCTGAGATCAGAGAGGTTGCTGCCTGTGTTCTCCTCAAGAATTTTGATGGATTCCTGTCTCACATTGAGGTCTTTCATCCATTTTGAGTCTCTTTTTGTGTGTGGTGTTAAGGAAATGATCCAGTTTTCATTCTTCTGCATGTGGCTGTCCAATTTTCCCAACACCATTTGTTAAAGGGACTGTCTTTTATCCATTGGACGTTCTTTCCTGCTTTGTCGAAGATTAGTTGACCCTAGAGTTGAGGGTCCACTTCTGGGCTCTCTATTCTGTTCCATTCATCTTTGTGTCTGCTTTTGTGCCAGTACCATACTGTCTTGATGAATACAGCTTTGTAATAGAGCTTGAAGTCCGGAATTGTGATGCCACCAGCCTTGCTTTTCTTTTTCAACATTCCTCTGGCTTATTCAGGGTCTTTTCTGGTTCCATACAAATTTTAGGATTATTTGTTCCATTTCTTTGAAAAAAGTTGATGGTATTTTGATAGGAATTGCATTAAATGTGTAGATTGCTCTAGGTAGCATTGACATTTTCACAATATTTGTTCTTCCAATCGATGAGCGTGGAACGTTTTTCCATTTCTTTGTGTCTTCCTCAGTTTCTTTCATGAGTATTCTATAGTTTTCTGATTACAGATCCTTTGCCTCTTTGATTAGATTCATTCCTAGGTATCTTATGGTTTGGGTGCAATTGTAAATGGGATCGACTCCTTAATTTCTCTTTCTTTTGTCTTGTTGGTGTATAGAAATGTCACTGATTTCTGTGCATTGATTTTATATCCTGCCACTTTACTGAATTCCTGTATGAGTTCTAGGAGTTTTGGGGTGGAGTCTTCTGGGTTTTCCACATAAAGTATCATATCATCTGCAAAGAGTGAGAGTTTGACTTCTTCATTTCCGATTCAGATGCCTTTTATTTCTTCTTGTTGTCTGATTGCTGAGGCTAGGACTTCTAGTACTATGCTGAACAGCAGTTGTGATAGTAGACATCCCTGCTCTGTTCCTGACCTTAGGGGGAAAGCTTTCAGTTTTTCCCCATTGAGAATGATATTTGCTGTGGGTTTTTCATAGATGGCTTTTATGATATTGAGGTATGTACCCTCTATGCTTACACTGTGAAGAGTTTTAATCAAGAAAGGATGCTGTACTTTGTCAAATAGATGCTTTTTCTGCATCTATTGAGAAGATCATATGGTTCTTGTTTTTTCTGTTACTAATTTATTGTACCACATTGATTTGCGGATATTGAACCAGCCTCACAGCCCAGGAATAAATCCTACTTTTAATGTACTGTTGTATCCTATTGGCTAGTGTTTTGGTGGGAATTTTTGCATCCATGTTCATCAGGGATATTGGTCTGTGGTTCTCCTTTTTGATGGGGTCTTTGTCTGGTTTTGGGATCAAGGTAATGCTGGCCTCATAAAATGAGTTTGGAAGTTTTCCTTCCATTTCTATTTTCT